GTGGGTGATTCTCCCTGCAGGTGAGCTAATCAGTTGCTGCATCCGTGGAGAACAGACCACTACTTACACATGACAAGCATTTGAAGCACGCAGAACTCTCAAAGAAAAACAAAAATGCTTGGGTGTTTACACATGGAACCTTCTAGAAGGCATGGAAAGGAGGAGGTACCCAGCCCAGGACCTGTCCCATAACAGGTAGTTACAAATATTTGCAGAATAAACAGCAATTTCCATCATCAAAATCGTCTGTATCTCTGTTCCACCTCCTGTAGTTCCTAAGAATTATTATTTTTAAAAATCACAATAATGGTTGGGTCATAAAGAACAAGAACAGGATGTAAACATTTATACAGGGAGGGACTTTGTGCTTTAACAAGTAAAATGCTTTGTCTACTTAAATTTGAAATTGTATTTTTAATTTGTATTAGTCAATAAGGCTTGGTATTCCTTCAAAAATTTTTTTTCAGTGCAAAAAAGCTCAGTACAGGGAAAAGCCAGTTTCTCTCCCCAAGAATTATGATTTTTGCCTATTTCTTGCAAATAGTAAATAGAATAGATAGAAATACCCTGTGTATATGAGGGCAAATTTATTTGTTTTGTTCCTTAAAATCTAACCATAAAATGATAGAATGGAAATAAAAAGTTCATCTAGATGCCAAGTTAGACTTTTAACTTGCCATTATATTCTGGGAGAAAAAAAAAAAAAGAAAACATAAAAACCATCTTCCCAGTGGCATAAGTGAACTCTTGGTTGTAAGGATGCCAGGTCCCATGGCAAAATCCTCCATGTGAGTAGAAAAAAGAGCTTGAGTTTGCCTAGAGCTCCCTGAAACTCATAATGCCCACTATCAATCTTGACCTAAAACACCCCTGGATTTAGAAGGGCTGTAGAAGGAAGTGCTGTCTAAATAACAAATAGAGTGAATTCACACGGACACAGGCATCTTCATTTGCAATTGGGCATTGTAACGTAACTACTTGAACAGCATCACTTGTGTGTCATCACCCACAGTGTATCTTCAAAACTAGCAAAGTCTGTATGTATTTTGTAAATCCTACTCCTTAGTGTAGCTAGTAGCTTTTCAAATTCTTCATTCTGGTGATGTACTGGTGCCTGTCTGTAGTCCCAGCCTTTCTGGAGGCTGAGATAGGAGGATTGCTTGAGTCTAGGAGTTCAAGGTTGCTGTGAGCTACAATGAAGCCGCTCTACTCTTGGGCAACAGGGAAGCCTTTGTCTCAAAAGAAAAAAAAAAGAGCATTCCTTTAATACACTACAAGTTAGAACCGAGTAAAATAACTCAAATTACTTCACACTCATGTATGTCACTATCAACTTTTCCAAACACGTGCAATTTTAAGAGCATTTTGATCTCAAAAAAACATTTCCACAATAAAGTTTTGGAGTATAAAAAATGATAGGAGGAATAATTATGGTAGTGAGGAATAGAAATAATATATTAAGTAATGAGAATGTTTAATTTCCTAGCATTCTATATTTTGTAATTATTTTTCTCATCTTTTTTCTTTTTCTTTTTTTTTGGCCGGGTCTGGGTTTGAAACCGCCACCTCTGGCATATGGGGCCAGTGCCCTACTCCTTTGAGCCACAGGCTCTGCCCTCATCCTTTTTCTTTTAAACTATGGATTTTGAGGTTTGAATTTTGTTCTGCTTTCTTCGCAATGGCTGCCCTGGCAGTAGCAATGAGCCCCCTGAGGCCAGGGATAGATCCTGTGGCTGCTGCACCTCTGTGGCCTTTGTAAACTCAGAATGCGACTTATCACTTCTAGTGACAGACATGATGGGGTGTGGGAGAAGTGGAGAATTCAGACGGGCTTATGGAGTGTATTCTTGAGACATTTTGTTTCCTATACAGTTAGCACTGGTCTGTGGCTTTATCCTTTATGATTCTAGCTGTTTTGTAACTGGGGTCCACCTTTTTTTCCAACTTAGTTGCCAAGGTACAACATTCTGTCCCTTATTTACTTAAGCCCATGGTTTCTTTCTCTTCTATGCTTTTAAGAACCAGGACAAATATTGACCATTGACATTACATTGGGTGTGGCTTGGCCCACTACCGTTCTCCTTAAGATAGAACATTTCTGAGAGACAGGGCAAGCTACGGTTCTCATTTTTATTCTCTCACCTATATTGGTTTTCTGTTATTTTCCAAGCTTCTTCCTGTGTCTCTAATTATATTACTTTAGCTGCTTCAGCTTTCATATGCCAGCATATAGATAAGAC